TCTTCCGATATAACATTCGATCAAATTTTCATGAAGGAAGATTACTGCTGAGAAAAAGGTAATGCATGATTTAAAGACAGGAAATTCATAGTAACCATCTAGCTTAATAAATTTGTTGTTAGAGATATGGTGTTGCATTTTTTAGGATCGGTGCTGGAGCATTTCCCATTTCCCATTTCTATCTCTACATGCATTCACGGCCGGCGATGGCCTCCGTGATGTCCGGCCCAAAGATCTCATCGTCTGACACCACCGGCTCCACCAAATCGAGGAAACCAACGCAGGAAGAGGAAGAAGAACGCGGCCAGTTCGCCCATGACGATCTCACCCCCACACTCTCCCTTGCGGCATCCGCCATCTCTCTCTCCCTCCTCTTCCTTTCTGATGGCAGCCGCGGTGATTTCAGCGGTGATCTTCTCCTCCTCCCCTCCCAAGCCTTAACCCTAGAGTCCTCTGTTCACTCCGCCGCCGCCTCTCTCGCCCGTCTCCTCACCCTTCTCCGCCGCTCTCCCAAAACCCTAACCCTAAATTGCCCCTCTCCCACCACTTCATTATCTCCCCGACCCTCCTGGTTCATCCGCTTCCTCTCTTCCTCCCCTTACCAGGGCGATCAGCGATGGCTGGAAAACTTTCGAATGTCAAAACCCTCCTTTTATTTCCTCCTCCAAACCCTCGCCCCTTCCCTAAACTCCTCCGCCTCCGCCGCCCCCTCCGGTGTTGTTTCTATCCCACCTGAACACAAGCTCGGCGCTGCCCTCTTCCATCTCGCCCACGCCGCCCCTTTTCGCTCCGTCGCTCGCCGATTCGGCCTCCCTTCCCCGGATCTCGCCTGCCGCGCCTTTTACGAAGTCTGCAAGGCTGTCGCCGACCAACTCGGTCACCTCTTCGAGCTCTCCTCCGATCTCAATCGCGTCCTCCAAGGATTCCACTGGATGTCCCTCCCCAATTGCTGTGGCTCCCTTGGCTTCTCCTGCTTCTGCTCCTCCGTAATCGCGCAGGCCCTGGTCGACACCGAAGGAAGATTCCTTGACGTCTCCGTCGGATGGCGGGCCTCCATGCACCCTGCTGAGATCCTCCCCCGTACAAAGCTCCACTCCTCGCAAGCCATCGTCCTCGCTTGCGGCCCGCCTCTCCAGCTCAATGGTGTCGGTTCGTCAATCCCACGGTACTTCCTCGGCGGCTCCTGCTGCGCTCTGCTTCCATGGCTGCTCACACCTTTCAGCGCTGCTGATGAACTAAGCGGCGCCACCGCCGCCGTTTATAATGCCGTCCATGCCCGTGGGATGGAGCTTGTTCGCAAGGCTTTTGCAAGGCTCCGAGCGAGGTGGCAGTTGCTGCGCGGGGCTTGGAACGATGAGTGTGCGCAAGCCCTGCCCTTTGTCATCGTTTCAGCTTGTCTTCTCCATAACTATCTGATCAAGTGCAGTGAGCCTGTGCCTGAGGAAAGCGAGTTGGGAAAGGAGGTGGCGGATGGGTTCCCGGAGTTTGAGGGGAAGGGGGATAAGGCTGGGGAGAGGATAAGGTGTGTTCTGGCATCACACCTTAGCAAGGTTATTAATCCATGAAGGAAAGAACTGAATGAATAATGGCATAATAATGGCTCGTAAGTCTTTGATGTATTTAGTTGATGCGAAGCTGGAGCAGTTTTCATGAGAAATAAAGTTGGATCTCAAAGCCGATGCTTTGGAACATGGTCGCCTGCAAGTTGCCTTTCTTTCCTTTTTTTTTTTTTTTTTTTTTTTTTTCTTGATCTTTTTCTTTTAAGTGGGGGGAAGGTGATTGCTGCCTTTTTCAGCTGAAGGATTCAACTTATGACTCTTGTATATTTTTTTTAATTATTTAATAAGTATCTTGTTTATATATATAACCCTAAATATTTTTTATTAAATTTAATAAATTAAGATCTTTTTTTATACTAGCCTAAATCTTTTTAGTTCTACTCTCCTAATTGGGTCATCAATGATCCACATTTAATGTCATCAAACCATCTAAGACGATTATTTTTAATCTTGTAGCTAGTCCAGCCCTTTCGCATATATATATTCATTTCTCATTTTGCCTCTAGGTGTAAAACCACTCATACATATGAATATTCTCATCTCTCAGCAACACCCGATTTTATTCTTCTCTTTTTCAGGCTAATATTCTTCATCATCAAGCATTGCACTTCTCCGTACCATCTTATAATATATTCCTTTAATTCTATGTGGCACTTTTCTATCGCACAATAGGTCTTATGCATGCATCAACTCCAACCATCCAACTTGTTTTCTACCAATAACAGCCCCATTTGTATAATCGTCATTTTGAACAATAAACCTGGGATATCTAAAGCATTCACTCATTTTAATGATTTGATGACCAATTATTAAAACTCTATCACGAAATATACTAATACTAAAATTATATTTAATGTATTCAGTTTAAGATCTACTCAAATGTAAGTATTTAAATTCTAAAGGTAACCTTCATGATTCAAGTATTTCCTCTCTAGTCTTATCCACAGGATGGATATCATCAACAAAAAGCGTACAACAAGATACATTGTCTTATAAATGTCCAATAAGAACATCTAATTATCTATGTATCCTGAATATGATGTCACAAAATATCTTAAAGACAGTGCAACAATAAAGAATAACGTCATATTAAAGTTTCCATGATAACTCCCGACCTCTATAGTCGCCGATTACCGTCTACCACCTCCCACCGACCCCCCTCGACCACCACTTGTTAAAACTTACTAATCATCGTCAGCTAACTCTGCTAGTAAAAATGAATCTCAAATACTATGTAACAACATATCCTAAATGTGATGTAATAAATAACACCACATTAAAGTCTTGACGATAACTTTTGGCCTCCGTAGCTATCGACCATGATCAACAACCACCCATCATTTGCCTCTGATCTCCACTACCAGTAAACTCGACTGGCTAATGATGTATCCCAATTGTAGTGTAATGTTGAATTTCAAATACGGTGTAATAGTACATCTCAAATATGGTGTAACAATGTATCTTAAATAATGTATAAAATAATAACATCATATTAAAGATTCGACAATAACTCCGAGTGATGGCTGCTTACGGCTGTCATATTGAACAAAGAATTCTTCCAGACTTCTAAAATTTTCTATACATCGCATACCAGTAAGTCTTGTCTTTGGTTTAAAATGGTAAAACCAAGAGAAGGTTTGCAACCACCAACTAGTGTAACACTAATTATGGTCTTTGTGGTTAATTGATACTATAGTTTTCAACTACGGCCTCTATGGCCAACGACGCTACTCCAACTACCAACTACGACCCATGTGACCAACTATGATCTATGTAACTAACAACTACTGCACCTTCCAACTACAAACTTTATAGTCAACTGACACTCTTGTAGCTACCAAATGAGATCTATTTGACCAACTACGACCTATGTGGCTAACTATTATTGCAGCTTCCAACTACGGCTAGTATGACCAACTAATGTTATTAAAGTTACCAACTATGACCTATGTTGGCCTATGTGGTTAACTGTTATTGTAGCTTCCAACTGAGACCTATATGGTCAACTAATGCTTTTATAGCTACCAACTACGACCTATATGACAAACTATGTGTATGTGGCTAACTATTATTATAGCTACCAACTACGATCTATGTGACCAACTATGACCTTTATGGTCAGTTACTACTGCAGCTTCCCATACAACCTCTATGACCAACTGATGTTACTAAAAGTAATAATTACGGCATATGTGACTAACTATGACTTATGTGGATAACTTCCAGTGCAACTTTCAACTGCAATCTCTGCAACCAACTAACAATTGTTTTCGCCCTTATTCTCTTTTTATTCTTGAAGTAGTTTCCAATTTATCTATCATCATCTACTTCCTTTTTCTGAATAAATCTTTTTTCAGATCATATGAATGATCTGGAGAAGGAAGGAACTAAAAAAATGGATATATGATAAAGACGAAAAGTAAGAAAAAGAGCGTGGAGAGCCTACATGAGATAAACCTCACAAGAATATGTCAAGTTTGTTTGCCCAATCAAGATCAGGATAGGACCAATATCCACAAAAGAATACTTACATAGACAACTCATAACTAGAGATTCAGGTGTATGTGTTTGTTATAAGGTCTAGAGTACTCCCAAGGTGATGTATCCCATTTGTTTATATACATATTGGGGGTTGTCCAAGAACACTCTTGATCTAAAAGGGTTTTGCTAACATAGTAGTAATGATCAGCATAGAGCTATCAAAGGATTGTCATCTCACAAGGGGATACTCAGATGCTTTCGAAGCTTCTGCTAAGCCACGGGGTGGAGAATTTCTCACAGGCCCTACATGAGTAATGAACTCATTGGTATAAAGAGCCTGCGATATTACTCAAACATCCCAATGGGAAATTATGATACATCAAATCACATTAAAACCATAAGGGCATAGGACAAATTGTTGTATTCTAAATGGATGCAGCTCATCGGTAGTCAGGCCGTTAAGATAATGCCAATAAAGGCAAAAGGATCAAAAGGGCTAGATAGGTGTAGTCAAATTAAGGGAGGATGAGTCCTTAGAAGGTAGAGGTAGACGGGCCAAAGTACCACAAATCTGTCGTCTCAAGCTACTAAGAACCTAAGTCTACCTGGTCATGAAGGTAGTGGACCCAACCTAACCAGAGGTCCCCGATTAGTAATCCGTAAATTGTGTCGTCCACGGGTGATCTCGGTAGCTCTAAGGTCGAAGGAACAAAACTCTATCCTATAACTATCAGCTGGAGTTCCAAGAGGTGGGACTTATAGTAACCAAAGTGGTGAGGATTCAACATGTAAGAAAGAGAGAGTGAGGTTTAGCTACAAAGCTGTAAAAGCTAGATGCGCGGGACAGATTTAGTGTGTAAATTTTGCAAATATTTTTCAATATTACAAAATTACACACGACAGATATATAATAAATAGTTAATATAATCCCAACAAAAATATCTTTTATGAAAATAGTTTATCTTTTAGAACTCTTTTTAAACTGTCAAATTTCTGTTAAAATCGACGCATGTACTCTATCACTCAAGTAATAAAAACCTCTAATGGAGTCCTAGATATCGATCCCACCGAGAAGTTGGAAAATCCTTTAAATAAGTTTTTGAAATTATTTTCTAATTAAAAATACAAAAACAAAAGTGAAGTGTGAAGTTTGAATATTAACTACTAAGGTAATTGCTATATAAAATGTAGTTGACAAACAAAGTTAACTAACTAAGAACTAACTTTCAAAAGTAAAATTACGAAAATTAAACAAAAATTTTGTTTTGACGGAATGTTCAAATTTAAGAAAACATCATTCCCCTTTACAAGCAAAAATTTTGTTTTGACGAAATGTTCAAATTTAAGAAAGCATCATTCCCCTTTACAATAAGTATATTTATTGTGAAGAAATTGAAATCATTTGAATATATATATATATATATAAACTATTTTGTGCCAAATAGGAGCAATCCTATTCTTTACCCTCTTCCGAGTGTTATAAAGAACATTAACTCCTTAATTCCGTGGTTAGGCTGGGAATATAATGGCTGTTACTCCAGAGCTCCCACTACTCCCTCACCTGAGGGATAACAATCTTGCATCAGTTTTCAATCAGCTGCACCAAATTGAGGATTTTAATTTGTCACCATAAAATCTTTAATTATGCATCCAAAAAAGAATATTTCCCTATTTATTTGCATCCAATCCCATGGATGACATACTCTCCTATGAAATCAAATGTGACTCTCCCTATGTTGTAGAAATCATATCCCATTTAAGAACATATGTTTCTTAATAAGTTTTAACATTTCAATTGGCTAGATCGAAAAGTAAATGAAGATCGGAGTTCAAATCATCACAAATTATTAACATTTAAAACTTTAGAAAACAAAATTATTTCTTCACAAAACCATATCTCAAAGTAGAGAGAAGGATAAAGAAGACTTCTCAGAAAATTTCATATAGAAAAACAAGTTTACAAAATAAAAGAAATAAAAATACAACTTATCTCCACAACTTTTCTCACAATTCTTCCCAACCAAATGCCTAGATGTTCTCTCCAAGCCTTTCTCTCCTTACAATCCCACTTAATTCTCTCTTAGAAGTGTAATGAAGAAGAAATATCTCACCTTCCCTCTCCTCTTATAACTCTAAGAAAAAAATCTCCTCTCTCCTCTTGCCTCTCACGCTAACTTTCTCTCTCTCTCCCTTTGTCATACCCCTCTTTGTCGTCCCCCTCAAAATCTTCTCTTTTATTTTTGGGCTGCCTCCTTTGAAAGGAATTTCAAATTCCCTGTAAAAGTCAACTCTTTTAAATTTAAAAGATATCTCATTTCATTCAAGCGATAAAATAACATTAAAAAGTATCTAGATGCATTGAATTACTCTAATAGGTGTGTAGAACAAGTGTCCCTTTGAAAATTTATGCAAAATTTGTCTCAAATCGCCTTAATTTGCAAAAAGTAGTTTCTAGCGTATCATGCGCCAATTCTCTATCAAACGGCGCATCATGCGTCGGAATCTCAAAATTCGTTGTTTTGGCTCCAAATTTTATTTTTTTATGTCATTTTTGCTCCAAATGCATAAAAATGATATACCTGCAATAGAAACATGAAAGTACCCTTTTTTAAATGCAATATTAAAATATGTGCTTAAAACAGTATATTATTTTGGTGTATCAAAATCCCTCAAACTTAAGTGTTACTTATCCTTAAGTGACACTTTTATTACATAAAAGCATATGACTTAGGATAGAGATTAACTTATAACTTCTATCTTTTAGTTTAATAAATAGAATAGCAAAATTTAAGAAAAACCTTTAATAACTTAGATTCAAACTCTG